CCCCAAAACCCCAAAACCCCAAAACCCCAAAACCCCATGAGGGCTATATAATTTTGAATAAAGAAAGGTTTTATTAATAATTGATGGGAAAATTGAAACAATTATTAAGTTGTGTCGTGAGAATGCCTATTGAAAGACTTTATTAATCAAATAATTATGTGGGTATAGCTTCTTCGTTATTTACTAGAATTATTAAGAAAGAAAATGGGGATTTTCAATCTTTGAGTGATTTATAATCTTAAATATTTTTGCCTCTAAATAAGTCAGAAGCATTAGTATTTTAGCAATCTTCTATTTGTTAATCGTTATTTTGTTTGTAAATTCTTAAGTAAAGCTTCGTTTACAAATCTTATGTTTCTCAAGCATTATTTTTATCTATAAAATTTAGTTATATAATAATCATACACTTATGTTATGTTTTATTAGTGAAGTTTTTTACTGTTCTTTAACTTGACAAATCATCAGGGCTAAGACTATCTTTAATAACAACAGGATCCTTGTGGAAATTTAAATAATTTTTTAAGTTCTTAGATCTTCTGCTTGAATTGGTTGAGTTCTAACGAATTGAATGGCCATTTCTTGATTAGCTGGTTGTCTCCGTAATTTGTCTCTAAATTGTTGATTTTTACCTTTGCTATTATATCAAGTTTTGTAGATTAGTCTTATTCAAGAACTATTTAGCTACAATAGTTTAACGTGAGATAGTTTTATCCTGAGCCAATTCATTTTGCTATTGAGCTATTTAATTTTCAGGTCTATTAATGATTATACCGATTTGATGTGATTTTGAATATAAGATTGGGGCTCCAGTGTCATGATTCCTGCTCTGCCTGATTTGAATTTCATTTTAATGAGTCTATATTTGCATGATTTTCAACTAATTTCTAGTATTGCATATAATGCTATTATTTAATAGTTGATGCTGCTATTATTGTTATTATTTTTATTATTGACCATTCTGAATTAGTTTAGCGTTCCGCATGTAGAGATTGGCCAACCTAGAATTCTTAATTTCGCTTTTATTCTGTTTCTGATTTTCACCTATTACGTCCTTACTTTTTACTTTTTTACAATTGTCTTTTGAAGTTGAAAATCATACTGTCGTTATTGTACTTTCTTATGATTTCTGATCATTATTTAATTAATTCATACTTTAATTGTTATTATTAATTCCACAACTTTCACCGTTGTGATTTAAATTAATGCTCATATCTCTTTGTTTTGAAAATGATTTATGAGACTGATATGCTGCCTCAGAGCTGTTTTTGAAAGTGCTGAAAGGCTTTACAAAGCAATCATCTTAAGTCTATTATTATCGGATCTTAGCCTCTTCAAGTAGCTGATATATGGTAGAAATTATCTACTTTTCGCTTTATTGAGAATCTTCATACTCAGACTAAGCTTAGAATTCTCGTTTGTGCTCCTTTGCTGACATTAAAGCAAACTGATAACTTAAGTTTGGGTTTGGATGAATTTGAGAATCCGAATTTTCTCTTGAGTGCTTTGCTGTAAAGAGTGTATTTTGTCCAATGGCTATTTAGTTTTCTTAAGTAATTATATTTTTATTTTCATCGTTGCCAATTAATTAGCATATTTAAGAAGAAGCTGCAGTTGATGCAATACTTCTAATGTTATTGAGGTGTTATCTGGAGAAAACCTCTGATTTATACATCGAATCATCTTTATTTGTAATTATCTAGGGATCTTATAGAGCCTAAATCTAGTCACCGTGAGAGTAAATTCTTGGCTAAGATTATCTTAACTTTTGATTTTTTAAGAAACTCTATTATTGTGACTGATTATCTTCATTTTGAAGAGTGGCCATATTTTCAGAAATTCTATTCAAGCCTAGAAGCACATTGAAGTCATCGTTAGTATGAGTTCTCACTCTTCTATGATGACCCTTCTTGCTCTGCTCAACTTCCTTGTTTCGATTTTTGGAGTGATCAAAGCTCTGGTTAATGAACTTACATTCAGGCACAGATGTGTTTAAATGCTGATTTTCCTATTGAATTCTGCTGCCTTTCTACTTTTTAATCCTCTTATTATTCATCTTTAATTTACTTCTTCTTCTAGTTATTTTATTTAATTTAGTAATACTGATTCCTAAATATGAATTATGAAGAAATTACTGCAAATAATGAACATGGGGTTTTGGGGTTTTGGGGTTTTGGGG